AAGCTAAAAATGGCAATCTTTATGGTATTACACTGAATGAATTTTTAAAGATACATATCTTAACTATCTTAGTTTATCTGTCATGTTTTATTAACGACATCAATAAAATGTGCAGCGCTGTTGCTAATAAATAAAAAACAACTGATACTTTAAAAAGATAAAACAAATGCTAAAGAATCTTATGATATGCATTGTTTGATGGAAAACACTATAATTATTTAGATATAATATGTAATCTGAAATTAGTGCCTAATCCGCATTTAGTGCTTTTACTCTATTTTAATGATTAGATACCCAATAATGATGTTATCACGTTAATTAACAGAATGTACGTGTAGATATTATTGCATTACCAAAGCTGACTACATTATGCAACTTTATTCAAATACGATATTTTCTATAAAAAATAGTCTTTAATATGTATTAATCTATTATAGTGAATGATCAAGTTCATCAAAAATAATCTTGTGAAGATCCTACAACGATCAAATATGAATTAAAGAATTACTTTCACTATCTATCATCTATCTTCAGATTGCCAATTTGTCATTCTGTCACCAGCCGCGATTTATGAGAAGCAACAACGACGACGACGACGATCTCATTTGTTTTTTATCCACACAGAAAAATATATAGTGTATGCAGATAATAATTACTGATTTCAAGTATTTTAAAAGTCTATATATCCGCAAATCTATAAGTTCATCAATTATCGAAATATATATTTTTTGAATTCTAGAATAAGTTTAATATTTCAATGAAGATTATTAAGTTAAAACAAATTTGATTTGTTTATTATATAAAGTCGCTTCTTCGATCAATTTTATAATATTTTTTAATAGAAAATAAATTCTTGTTTTGAATACATAATGATGAATTTTATAATAAAATTTATAACAAGTATATTTTAAGATCATTATGAAGAAAATATTCTGTGTTAAAGGTACTTAAAAGGAAAAAAAATAAGTTGCGTAATCACATTTCTTAGCAATATAGAATAATATTTTTCTGTGTGTGCAGGCGGTGAATAAAGCTTTGCGATACGAGCAACGGCCGCGAAAGTATTGCTGCGTCGCGACGATTCGTCTCATTAAACTTCCGTATCCGTTTCAAGGGCAACATACTTCAAACTAGCATATGGAATTTGTCTATTTGCGAGCAACTATTCGATCCGCTATATTTAAACTTGATTATATAGACACATGAGAATTTTGTAGTTTAACATTTTTTCTTATTTCGACGTTTGATGTTGATTCTCACATTTGAACTACATGTGTTGCATGGCATAGTATTGCATTATGTATATGCAGCACGTACACATTAGGTGTATATTGATTATACTATGTTTGGAGTAACATGATGCAATCTATTACGAAACATCTTGTCTAATGTGTATACCGCAATTTTCTTGACAGCTGGAACTCGTTTTCATTCTGTATAAAATGTATCATGATAAAAAGTTTCAGTTTACTGAAGTGAAATTGATCGCAAAATGAATATTCTGAACGAGAGAACCAAATTGTACATCGAATAATCCGCGCAAGTCGGCAAGTAAATGGAGAAGCGCTTCACTACTTGTTCAAACGCACGGATTATTGATGAACGGTGCTCTCGGCTTTTGTCTTCATTCATAATGTTATCGCCAGCGTAGTGGAAATAGCGTCGAGAAATGTCATACTGTCTGTCGACAATCGGTATTTTTTTTCTTAGAGTTTACCCTGAAAATATGGCAGTTCGGGGACAACATTGTATTTCGAAAAATTTTATGTAAATTTCTCTCATTCATTAATAAAATTACAATAAAATATAAATAAGTTTGATGAATTTTATTGAAGTTGCATAGTAAAAATCTTTAAAATATATTATATTGTACCACCATATTTTCAGGATAAATTTTAAGAGATAATTCTCTCCGTGTATATATATAGGTATCTCTTCGCGAATATTTTTTGTCTGTTAGAGTTACTTTTTTGCAAAAAGGGAGGATTGCATCTTGTCACAAAAAACAATTATCTTATCAATCGTTATTATCTCTGCGATATTAAATATTATCATAGACATGTAACGACGTACATGTCTATGATAATATTTATGATCAAATAAAAGTTATGAAAGAAATATCACCAGCGTTATTATATCTGAAATTAGATTTAGATTCTTTCATTTTCACTTGCGTTCCTAAGGATTAAAAATAAATCCTCTTTATTTCATAATCTTCTTTACATTCGTAACGTAAGCTATAAATATTGAGTTTGTGTTCTTTTAAACAAATATTATAGAGCTTTGCGTTATTTTTAAATAAATATTTAACCTTTTGTTTACAATCATTTTTATTCCTTCTGTCTGCAATATGAATTTTTTTTCAGTCCAAGTTTTTTTACCGGTCTAAGCTTTCAAAATAAAATCAGAATTTTCAACATCTTTGTAATATCATCAAATAGTCTTTTAACTAAACTGTTAAAATATTTATTCAATAAAAATTGAAATTTAAGCAAAAATAATTTAAAATTGGAATTTCGCTCATATCAAGAGAAAGCAGACAGACTCACAAACAGACAGAAGGTTAAATAATGCTTTATATAAATACAGAACTTTTCGTTATTTCAAACAAATATTAAATTTTCAATACAATTAAATTGAGATGTTTAAAAGGAGAAAAAAAGAAAATGGGTTTAGAGTCGCCACTGCCTGCCCGCGCTTTTCCGGATCTCGCGACTAATCTCGCGAGTGCACGGCGTTTCGATGAATGCTCGGTGACGAGTCCTGACGTGCAAATGTTCTTGCAGAGAATCGTGGTCACGTGTGCGGACATTGACGTCGGAGCGGCAGCGAGGGATGCAATTTCCCGTGTTCGTGCGACCACGTAGTCTCGCGTGCACGCACGTAGGACAGAACAGTATATCGTCAGTGCATCATCATCATCGTCCTCGTCGTCATCGCTCCGTTGCGTGCGAACCAACCACCGAGAATGCCGGTGTGAAGTGAAGAACCAAACGCTCTGCGAAAAACGCTCTGCGATCTTTACATGTCGTAAATTTTACTTATCACCCCGAGGATACACGCAGAAACAAGGTGAGCACGTAGAGTCATTAAGCAAGAAAGCATCTCTCGCGGGATTCGAAATCTCGACAGAATTTCGCCGAGTTCGATAAGTTCCCCAGACTATGGGACGCGCGAGAATGATCTCTGCGATTGTTTTCATTTGTCGAATCACAAGATTCTTTTATCGCGTACACACAGACAGAAATTGAACTCGCCGAGTGTCACGGTTTTAATCCTACGTCTTTTTTTTTCATCGCCTTACCATTAACTCTTTCAAGACACTGATGATGATTTATCTCGAAAGATCTTTGATGTTTCTAGAAAATTCAATAGCAATTCTACCCGCTTGTTTTGTATAAATTCGAAAGTTCGGTTTGTAATGTCTTGCTAAATTTATTCAAATAGTATTTCTCAAAATTAAAAACTATAGAAAAAAATTGTAAGTTGAAAAGTTAAAGAATTTCCTTCTTACTAAGGATTTTGTTCCATTTATGCTGCTAAAAGATTGCCTTGAAAGAGTTAAAGTCACTTTGTGTATTTACAGCACAGATTGCCTTGTTTGTGCAGCTTTAATCTTCACGCTTTGACGCTTTATTAATTTATGTTTCGATATATTGCTTGATTTGCTTTGTATCTATCATTTCTTTCAGACACTATGCGGGTTGCTTGAAGTAGCTACTTGAAAATTATGCTATTCCCAATTCTGAATTCGACATCCTTCACAAATTGCTAATTGAAGACAATTGACACTTATTTAATGCTAATAGTTAAATAGATGTTGAAAATACAAACCAAGAATCGCCAGAACCAAATTTTACTGAGAATGATAAAGAATCACTTCGGGATTATGGAATGTCGAGTCTGATGTAAACATACATTTTATAGGATTGTTAAAATGGAAGCTAAAATGGAAGCCGGTATGTTTTAAAATTTCCGTTCGTAATAAAATCATATTCCATTACGATTTTATTATCGTAAGCGTAAAACATGTCGCGCCATAACACGTCCATCTTTCTAATTCCGGGCGACGTTAATTGCGAAGTAAATTTGTTTAAGCAAAACCACGCGAGTGAACAAATCTTCATATTCTGGCGATTATTTTTCACGTAACAAAGATGCCAATTTCTTACTTTAAGTCCGGTTTAAAATTTAGAGATGAAAGAGAAAAAGAAAAAGATATCCATGCTGTAGAAAGAATATACGTCCGCAAGGACGATAGCGTTGCACAGCCAGGACAGACAAAGAATGAAAGGAACGAAACGCACGCATGGACGAGATGGAAGAAAACACGAGAGACAAGAGACAGAGGAAAAGAAAGAGAGAAGAGAGGTGGGCAGAAGAAAGGAGAAGCAAAACTACTCGGCAAACTTGAGAAACGAGATTCGCACGGGTCTGCCGAATTTTTTTGTAGTTTGTTTGAGCAATATTTTGCATTATTTTTAAATACATTCTGCTATTTTAATTATGCGAGAATGTTTCAGAGCAATACAAAATTTATGTTTCTCCAACATGCTAGGTATTAGTATTAATGAGAATAGAAATATTTGTGTAAGAATTAAAAATTCGTGATCGAGTAAACATAGTAAATTTCTACAGAAATAATTGTACTGAGGTAAACTGATGTGAGTAATAATATAAAAAAGAATAACTTCATTTAAATTGTCGCTGTAAATAAGTAAAAAATGACCTAAAATTCACCATCCAAAAATCATAGTTACTAACCATCTGAAGTTCAAGTTTTGTTACGAGATGAGTTGTTAGACTAGCACCTAATTCACAACTAAACAAAACGACCAGACGATACATTTTTTAAGTAACATTTTATTATCGGCACAAACGATTTATGACATATATATTTTTTACGAAATTGTATCTGTTACAATAGTAATTAGCACAGAATGTTTCTCACTCTTATTATGTTTATATTGAATTTATATTATACTTTTTATTAAAAGGTTTACATGGTTGTGACGCGTCAAAAAAATCAATGACATCAAGAAATGAAGAAATGTAGTTTGACAAGGAACACAAAACATCTTGCAAACTAAATTCGATATACACGATCTTACTTAGCAGGTATTATAGTTATGTACTTTGAAAGAATAAATGCCACCAGAAAAGTACCTGCTACAAAACAAATGACGAAAACATACCAAGTTTCTTCGTCAAACACATCGGTGAAGGCTGGAATTTGATTGTAGACCGAATCGAGAAGTCGTAAATGGTAATTTTTACTGTTTCTTATTATTTTGTTCGTCGTTACGCTAGTATCCTTCCCGTACATTTTAAATTGGTAAAGTTTTTCTTTTTTACAATCGGTTTACTGTAAATATTTTGATATTGCGCGAAATAAATTTCTAGATTATTTAATATAAATGTAACGCCTTTCGGTGTTTAGCAAATAGAAAATCCTGCAAGAATATAAACTAATTATTATTAATGTCTATATATATATATTATACAGGGTGTCAATTATGTACCGGGACGGTCAAATATTT